ATTGTTACTAGTACTTGCATGTTTTTACTAGAAATGCATTCAATAACTCAAAATATTTGCAGGAGAGAGCGAATTCGAGAGCGTAACAACCCGAAAGAGCTGCAAATTCTTGCAAGTAAAAATTTTACTAGCAGGAATTTGCAGGAGTCAAAAAGTAAGGTTATGTTTCCAATTCAAATGTAACCAAACTGTTTAAGAGGATAATTTGATGAAACATAATTAGTGAAATGAAAATATGGATGAAAAATTTAAATCTATTGTATATTTTTTTTATTTTTATGACGATGGGAACTATTCCCAAATAAAAAAACAATTGCGCGCCAAAACTTAACCGTCAGAAAGTGCCAAATGGCTTAAGTTGCAAGCTTTTACTAGTTTTGCGTTCAATAACTTTTTCTGGAAATTTTCTCTTGCTCTCAATTTTGAAGCTCAGTTAGTCCAGACTTAACTTAAGTTAACTTACCGTAAGAAATCATCAATGGTTATTCAACACGTCAACTTAAGCCAAGAGCGGAAATATTTTGTTTTTGTATTTCTTTTTTCAGCTGTTTAACAGTTCGCTGGCTAAAATGCCATATCAAAAAAATTTATGCAAACAAAAATGTTTGCTTTCATTTATTTTTAAGAAATACAAAAACGAGAGTCTGGCAAGCCTGATTCTCTCACCGCTCTCAATTTCCGTAAGGCCGTAACTTGAGAACCTAAAATCTACAGGTTCTTAAGTTTCTTACGGTAAGTTAAGTTTTAACTAACCTTCAACACAGGATCTCATATAATTAAGTCTAGACTAATTACTTCGTTGCTACCCTGACACACTTTTTTACCTCCTCGTATTTGGAATTAACTTTTATTTTTTCCTACCTTTTTCGGTTAACTTTTCTATTTACTGGCGATTACAACTACAATGCTTTGGTCCTTTTACCCTCTGTGCCCGTTGCACGGCGACTAGGCGGGTATTAATAATGGCAAATTTGCGTGTTTGAAATTGTTTCTCCGTTTGGCTTAACTAACGCAAGGCTATTTGATTTCTTCACGTAATTCTTCTTGTTATTAGACACCATATGATTTGTGGTTGTAGGTGAACGGTTTTTTTTTTGTGTTGTTTTGGTTGCTATTACGCAGGACTTGCAATCAGTCGTATAAGCAGTAAAACAGTGTGTTAAAATTATAAAATTCCGAAAAAATACATATGCGAAATTTTTTTTAATTTCTTCTCATTTCGGTGAAAGTAAATTCTCTTAAAAACGCCTAAGATTCTAACTTCTTTGTGAAAAAAAAACTTAAAAAAATAATTACATTCGACAAAAATATAATATTAGAGGTCTTGACGCCGTTCTTAGCACTCAGTATCTCTGTACTCTGTAATTTTGCCAATGTTAAATACTGTTCCCACCTACGAAAATTATCCTTTCGTTTTTTTCGCCCAGGCAGTGAAGAACCCCTTAAAAAGTTTATTTCGCAGTCAATCCCAAAAACTGTTCCCAACGTTCGAAAATTTTCTTTTCAAGCCTGTTAAACCGTGAAACAAAAATAATGGCAATCTTGCGCTATTAACCAAAAAACTATTCCAGGTTCAGAAAATTTTGTTTTCTAACCAAATTTTAGTTAGTAAATAACGTTGGGCGATTTTCTAAGTGATTTAACATGGGATTCGACAAAATCGTCTGTATAAATTGAATTTTAATTTTCTGGAAAGCGATAAAATCGCTTTGAACTTTTGTTGAATCGCTTACAAAATCGCCTCATATAAATGCTGCTTAAAACTCTTCCCATCTCTGGGGCAGCTTCTTTTTTTACTAAAACTTTTAGAAATGCAACGTTAGTCTCTCGCACGATAGCCAATAAAGCATTTATACCTCCAGTATTGACTGTTCTCACATGAAGGATAACTTTTTTTCTTTTAAATATTATTACTATTTCTACTTGCATTCTTGCACTATATATCGTTAGAAAAATCTGTTCCGACTTTTTGAAAATTCTAGTCAAAGATTTCTGTTTACAGATTAAGGCCTTAATCCACTCATATACCTCACTTTCCCCAGTTTTGAAAAAAAGATAAAATTGCATGCGCTATTAACCAAAAAAAAATCTTCCACTTCCGAAGAATTTCTGTGGGACTTTTTCCCTTAGCTGATTACAGCGCTAAATATATAAAAGCTGAGCTCCTTCTAATATTTTTTACGTTATCCCCACCAAAAAAATACTGTTTCCATTTTCGAAAAGTTTATGTTCGATTTAAAACATTTTCAATTAACACTTTCTTCACTATCACTCTTACCGACTTTGCGTACTTCAGATATTTATTAAACTGTTCCCACCTTGGAAAATTCTATTCTACCTAAAACTTTATCTAACCACTGAGAATTTATTGTTAGTCTCCGACTCGCAATCCTAATTAGCAATGATGTCCCAGCATAAACTGTTCTCAGATGCAGATACACTATTTTTACTTGTTATAACTATTTTTTAATCTAACTAAAAACTGTGCACTGCACGGATTTGCAATCGTGCGTTTTATAAAGAAAACAACTGTTCCAACTTTTTGAAAAACATTTATTTTGCTTTAGATTTTCTATTGAACATTTACGTTCACAGTTAAAGTTTTTTTCTTTTTATATGCAGCAAGAGTCTACTTGGTTTTGGCTACTGGAAAGTTAGCTTTAAGCGCACCTACCCTTAGTAAAAAAGATTACTTTTTATTGAGTAGCTTCCTGAATTTAAGTCTGTTATTTGTTACTTTCGCTTCACTGTTCAAGAGCGCTGCTAATACACTTTCACTTAGCTCACTTAAACCTTATGCTTTCAGTGTCAGTTCAACTTCAGGTGCCCATGGTGGAATTATACAAGGTGTTGTACGTAGTGACAGCTCATGTCGACAGCTCCCTTACAAAAGGTTGTAATATGGAAGCACGAGAGAAACGGGAAGAAAAAAAGCCCGCTTTGCGAAGTAGTACGAAATTTGGTACTATTTTTCATATAAAATTTTGCATATAAATAGTTACAAACGGTATATTATGATAAGCTAAATTCGCGAAAGTAGTATATATAACGTAGTACTTATGCAATAAATGGTAATTTAGTTTATTAAACACAATGTCCTATAATTATAGTCAAACTTCCAAAACCAAAAAATTAGTGGTGACCCCGAGTCGTTACAACATGACGGAATCGACAAAAGGGCGAATCGACGGATGGGGAGAATATTTCATCGAACAAAATGCCAACTAAAGATGTGGAGCTTGCATCGCAATGCAAGCTGCGACCGTTCTGAACTGAGATGACAGACAAATGGTTTCTACAAATTGAGGCCACCTTTCAGTCGTACAAGACCACATCTTATGTCGGTAAATACAATCTGGTTTTCTCAGCAATTAGCAGCGATGCTTTAAAGGAAGCTGCGGATTTTTTAAAAACCTTACCAACTCAAGACCGATATATTAACCTCAAAAGTCAACTACTGTCACGTTTTACTGATTCAGCCGACCCACATAGGGTATTTGGCTGATTTAGGCATATTTTTATCGCTACAAACATCAAATATAGTTTTAGTTATCGAATAAAACATTCACTATAACTACCCTGTTACTAATAGAAAATTCAATCGTAGTGAAATCTTATTTATTGTCAATATTATTGTGGCTTATTAACATTTGTTTCCATATTGTTATTGAGCTTTGTAGCACTATTATGTTTTTAGGGAAAAGGGAAAAAGCAACAAAGTCTTAGCGGTAGAAGTTACCAAAAAAACAGTTATATCGTTGGAAAAGCGGGGCCAGAGGCAGTGAACCACAGACGGAATTGCAGCGGAAGGAAGCACCGACCAAAATAACTACAAATCCTTGGAGAGAACTCTAAACCGATGTTTTTTTGCCGAATTAATGTTGAAATTTCTAATTTAATTTTCAGTTGCCAACGATAAGAATAGAGTAAATGTCAAAGAATTGTTCAGTGATTGCAAATCGCTTTTGGAATAGGGAATGAGGTAGTTTAGTACTTTTTTAAAGGCGATAAAATGTAGTTTTTTCAAGAGGGAAACACTGATATAGCTAAGGGAGCCAAGATGGCGGATTAGAGCGAGAACGCTGTCAATATCCAACACCTTGTATTATTCCACCATGCAGGTGCCTTTGCACTATATTTATACGCTCATATGTACACTCATACTTATAAAAACATTCTATCACTCATTCAAATAATGTTGTTTCTACTATTCTAATCCTGCAGGCGCTTGAGCGGAATATGTCTCTGTCCGGTCAGTACCTGGAAGAATTATCGCGACGCTACAAAAAACAAGTTGAAGAACTTCAACTCACACTCACCCAAACAGTGCAAACGGTACGCACGCTGGAGGAGCATACGCGTCGACAAAGCGAGCTGCATCAGCTGCTCGCCCAGCGCAATGCCCAGCTGAAGGACGAGCTAGACGATTTGCCGCTGCAGGTGCACGCATGCATTGTGGTCATAATTTTTGTAGGCGCCTTTGTATTTCTTGTGCTTATGGTGAGTATTATCTTCTATCGTTCGATGCGACGCGAAACCAAGGAGGTATTGACGCTTTACGCCAAAGCGAATAAGAAGAAGACAGCCAACGCGGTGGCCGCAATGCAGAAAAAACTAAATCGACGTAAATCATTTGAAGACTTCTCGGATCATCAGCAAAGCGGCGAAAAATTGCGACGTCCCAGTGAAGAAACGCTTATGATACTTAAGGAACGTAGTGGCAGTGGCGGTGGTTATGAGGGCATTGAAACCGTTGGTGATGCAGCTAAGAATACGTCACAGCGCCAACGGAAAATCTCCGTGTGTTATAGTAGCAATGTGGGCGCCAGCAATCACTGCACAAGTGACGCACCCGGCACTCAAAATATTAAATTGCGGCGCAAGGGGGAGAAGCACTCGTGGCCTAATACTGAACACGCGCAACAACAGGCGCGTCGCCATCTAGCGCAGCTGCACGATGTTACAGAGTTAATGGAGAATTCCGATAGATTAAATGGCCGTCCACCACGTGCGCCTTTGTTAAATGGCAGTGGCAGCAAATCCAAACGAAAATCGCAACTGCCACGTCGACAAGCGTCTGTGTCACATAAGTTTATGGGTGGCTTAAATAGTACCGCATCGGCGGCGGAGATTAACGCCGCTGAATATGACGAGAGTCTACGACTCGAAGAGGATGACCTTGACAATTTTATACCAACATCCGATTTGGCGTATAACGAATTCATGCCTGAAGGACCATCCGGCTATCAGGTGGACGATGGCGTAGAGGTTCAGAATGCAGATAACACAAAATCAGGCAAGAAGCTAAGTCGTCTCTCAGCACCCAATTTCTTTAAATCACCCTTCGGCAAGAGTCGCAATAAATTACGTGGCACGAAATCGGCAAAACATCCGCATGAATTCACCTCTTGGGAATATTATCGCTCGAAGAATTCAGAGCCGAAAGCACTAAGTGGCTCGGCATCCGCCAGTGGTGGCTTCATGCGTGCCTCGCCAACCAACAGCTTAGATTCATCATCACTCTCGGAGATTTTGTTACCCAATAGCCGCACTGAGAATTCATTTCGCATACTCGAGGAGGCTGCATTGTCGTCGGGCGAGAGCATAGCGGCCAGCAGTGGAGCAACGGCGGCGACGGCAGCAACGACACCGACTGGAACCAATACCACGGACAATGGTAACGGTAATGCACATAGTAATGGCAGTTATAGCAATGGCAGTAGCATCGCTAGTAATAGCAACCGCAGTTCTAATTCATCTACATCGACGAAAAAGAAAAATCGTAGCTTCAATAAGATATTTCGTAAAGTATTTTAGATAACGACTGAGGTGTTGAGGAAGCGAGGCTTTTTTGTTGTTTTTTGTAGCTTCGAATAAAATTTTTAATTTTTTGTAAATTCAAGCGCTTTCAACGAGTCAATTCATTTTAGTGGCGCATTACTCAAAGTTCAAAAGTAATTTTCTGCACATTAAAAGTATAGTCTGATATTACTTCTATATAATAAGTGAGCATTCGAACACAGTGAGTGTCAGAAGAATGTAGATTATATGAATTTTTTTCAATTTTTTTTTTATAAAAAATGCTATAGCCTATTAACTACCATAAACATTGGCTTTTTAGAAAAGATTTAACTCAATTAGTTCCAGTCTAGCAAAGAATTGTAGGTGACCACGGTGTACAAAAACGAAAAGGTCATATAATATACCTCTGTAGAAAGAAAATTATATATTTCGCGTTAGATATAACTCCTCCACTTAAGTAGCAAAGGACATACAACTGTACAACTACTCACAGACAAAGGGAGTCACTAAAAAAAGCATTTGGTTTATACTCACAATTGGGGCATTCACTTCGATATCTTAAGTGTCTTATTGTTATTTATGAATTCTCACGCTGGTAAAAAGTAGTTGGTACTGTTTTCAAGTTTACTGAACATATTTAATCTTGTTTACTACATGCAACAATACGACCATTGGCGTATACAGGTAGGGGCTCGAGCCCCCTAACTTTCTAATTTTTCCTATATATATAAAAATAGTACCCTGAAATGCCAGCTTAATGGGGTCGAGCCCACCCCTAAATTTCATTCTGGCTACGCCAATGAATACGACACCGCACAATAGGTCCCATTTGTGTGGCAAAAAGTCATTTTTTTTTTCCTTGGTATTTGATAAAGGAAACTTCAAATTAATTTTGTTGAATTTTTGAAGGTGCTTTAAATAATTAAAATAACAAACATTAGTTTCAATAAAATATGGAAAGGAAAAGTGATAGTATTAGCCGGTTTCACCAGCAATTTAAATGAAAAATTATTTTATATTTTCTGTCAATTTCCATACAAAATTAAAATAATTTTTCACTTAAATTGCTTTTGTGAAATTAGGTGTGAGTGCTTTATTGTTTAAAATAAATACATATTTTTTGTGATTTTTTTTTTGCCAGAAAAATAGATAATTCTGACATAACCTAAAATTAATTGTTGTTTGCTTAAAATTTAAGTTCGAACAAGCTTGTAAAGTCTTAGCCATGTTTATACTATCAAAAACGTGTAAAATGGGTATTGAGATTGTCGGTAGTAAACTATTTACCATTGTGTGGGGTGGACGCAATAGAGAGAGGAAACAAAAGTCTGTTAAAAATTTGTTTGCTACAAAGGCTTTTTATTTTTTGAGCAGACAATTCAGCAAATTTTTATCGTTACCTTAATATACGAAGGATATTGTAGATATTCTCTAAAGACAAGGAAATTTTAGATAGCGCCTTACTATTTTAAGGTATTTTATATGATTTGGCAACATTTTTGAAAAATAACCACTGCATAAATAGTTTCTATAACTAACTGGTATTTTTTTCTTTAATATAAATATCTATAAAAAAGCAGCTGCATTCACACTTTTTTAATAAAATTACAAACACAAAAGTGACAAGGGTTAAGATTTTTTTTTTTGAGGATAAATGAAAATCAGGTTTTTTTAATCATCTAATTGTACAGTGAACCGTTGTGAATACCCCAAATGTGTTTCATGTTAAATAATTTTCTTTATCTTTTACATTTAAAAATTTAGCTTATGATACAACAAAAATCATGAAAACCAAAATTCCATGCCAAAGCCTTCTATATTAAGGAAGAGAATGCGCAATCTTGTTCGCGAAAAAATTACCAAAATTCAACGGCAATTGTAGCCTTCACTTTCTCCTTTCTTTTTTGTATGGAGCGGCACAAATTAAAGGGGTACTGCTTACGCCACTCACAGGAGACTTTCAAAAAGGCATTTAGTACGGCGTACTTCAGAAGCTGTTTTAGAGGAGCTTTTCTAAAGCTGCTCCTTTAATTCATAAAAATCATACTTCTTTAATTTATTTATTTTAAATTTATACATTCGCGTAAATTGTAAATAGAAAAATGTTATCTAGAGCAGTGCTCGTCAAACTTTTGAGTGTGACGGACCGGCTGCAGTTTTTCTATTACGTCGGGGACCGGTACCTTGTTTTATTGATTATTTTTCGTTTACGATCATCTCATATATGTATTAAAATTTGTTTAAATGAATTTTTTTATTAGCCGGGTGTCTATATATGACCTATTACCATTTAATGATAGCAGATATTAGCGATTTTTTATGAATGTTTAACAAATTTAAGTTGTTTTTATTATACAAGTTGTATATAGCCTCATTAAACAGTAATATAAAACATCACAAATGTAATAACTGTAAAGTTATAATAATAAGACATATTATAAGCACGTCAAGTTTTATTAAAATTATATTAATGCTATTGGAAGGTGTCATTCCTTGTAAAGTTACGAAAGTCGATTTTTACTAATGCGAGAGGTGAGCCTGTTTATTATTTACAAGCTTATCAAGTCGTGGCTCAATTGTGGACAGTGCGACACGCAATGGAGAACTAATATTTAAACTGTTCCTGTACTTTGTCTTAATAATACTCATGGTTGAAAACCCAGTCTCACAAAGGTAAGATGAAGGAAATGGGAGTAGAGCTTTCAGAGCAATTTCAGCAAGTTCCGGGTATTCTGCTTTGACATGAATCCAAAATGACGCAAGTGATGTCATAGTTTCGAAAACCATCTTCAATCCTTC